ATGCTCCCTCTGTTGATACCACGGTCTAGGTGTTCTAGTATGTATCTAGCAACAAAATAATTCTCAAGTCCAAAGTCTGATCTCACTCGAGATGGTAATCCAAACCGCCTCACTGCGTCCCCAAATAATGAGAGAACGGTATCTGCTCTGTTGTTTGTTGAACAACCAAGATATACGATGCATCTACTATACCCGTCGATCCCACCATGCATAACGAAGCGCCACCTTATTAACTTATGGTGACCATCTATATGCCTAACAGAAAGTGCATACATATAGTTTTAAACCTGTTGGTGTGTGACATTTGGCTATATATTAGGAGTTAATATTGTACAATGAAAAATTTTTTTTAAAGTATGTTATCAATAAGTGTTCATTTTTCGTTTATATTAGTAGCGCACATGCAGTTTAGAACTCAAGTGCATATAATGGTTTCGATCAAATACCGATTAGATTTTTATATAAGATATGGAAATTATACATCAGATCAAGGACATTTAAAACATTTATGACAGTATAATGTATTCTTGTACGCTTAATATAAAACTGACATTGAAGTAAAATTATTTTCAGGCAGGTTGCGTATATTTTGAAAATGGTATAATATCCCAAGTTCGATTTTTAAAGATAATTAAAATTTTAGACCTTGTCCCCCAACCCCCCAAATTCTTCCTTTCATAAACGGTCTTTGCCATCCCTGACCAAATTACATCTTAGGATTGGATATTTATAAATATAATTAATACAAAATGTATTTTTTTGCGAAGATAATCAATGAGATTTACATTAGCTCAGTGGTTAAGGCGTGCGTATGTGGTGTGCCATCTTTTGGGTTCAAGTCTTGGTGTTCCTTTTACGAAATTTTATAATATTTTCATTTTTTTCTTTCTAGTTTAAACATTTGGGGTTGGGTTGGGTTGGGTTGGGTTGGGATTAGGGTTAAGTTTATATTTTAGCCAATAATCCGCTTTCCCCCCCGAGAATATCGCATGTCGAGATGGTAAAGATAGTAAGGGATGGATGGATAGCAAGGACTGTTTATGATCTGAAGATCTGAAAGGGAAAATTGCCGTCGCATTGTTAATAAAGAACGCATGCATATTAAAGTTGTAAACTCTAATAAACGTTATGTTTTATTGCGGATTTTTTCCCTAATTGTAATTGCAATTTGCAATTACTTTCTTTTATATAAACTTTGATATATAAGTTTGTTTTTAAATATTCAAAAATGTATGTATTTGCACCCTTCAAACTTGATAGAACATTATTTTGACAGGTCTTCAGAGAGTTCTTAAGATAAGGGGCCGATAATTAGATAATTCAGATGAAAACTAGTTCCAAATGTATGTGTATTAATTAAGACCAAAATTCAGTGATGTAGCGGGTTAACTTACCACAATGCATTGGGACAGCGTACATTGTACACACGTCGTACGACTGCAAGTGTGCGTCTAAGAGCACGACTTACTGGATCAACGATTTGGATTGCATTGCGCACGCGCCATCTCTGTATGTTGATACCACGACTTTTTATTGCTCCAATAACATATGTTTCTCCTGCGTCCGGCATGAGTTGTAAAATATCACGGACAATTGCACAAAGTTGCTCATCATCAAGATCTGTGTACGTTATCCGTGGACCTACTGTATTTGCAATCTCAAGTCCATATTGCTGTCTTCGACGTAACAGTGTTCTGTACGAAACACCAGTCAGCCTTGCAACAGAACTCCATGAATTATGAATGTCGTGTAATTCTCTTAGAGTATCTTCAGGAATGTTTAATATAGGTCTTCCTGGTTCGTGGATTTGCTGTGCTTCAAAGATCAATGGTTGAGAAAGTTGTATATGTTCGTTTTCTACCACATTGCGATCGCAAATTTCATTGTAGTGACCGAGAAATACAGCTAATCTGTTGTGAATTTCTCTCAACATATAAAGCACTTCAACGCAGACATCATGTTCAATACAGTACATTAATATAATCTGAACTGTATTATGACAATCATCCAGCCTTCGTCTTAAATTCTCAACAATATTAAGATTATCAGTATGTAAATGTCGTTGTGCCTGCTCAGAAATAGTTATTAAATCTCTCAAAAAAGGTTCAACACGATCGGCCATGTTGTTTAATTACTCGTGCCAGGCCTTTGGCCGCTGCAAATAAAAATGTTATCGAAGCCGCAAGGCCCAGTGAACTCTACTAGTAATGCTCTACTAGTACTGATCTAACACCATTTTAGTTCGCTATGCTTCTAAATGGATATGAAATACAGTTTATGTTCAGAAAAGTTCGAAACATTCGAAATTTGGGCAATGTTTGTTTCTGTCTGCACATTGTTATGAGCAGAACAGATGCGCAGAACGGACTTGACTTCCACTTTAATCTACTGCGGCGAATTTTTGGACCTAGTTTTTTAGCTTAAATAAAAATTAGTCTTTTAGAAGCATTTTCATATACATTTGACTATCATGCGATGCTTAGAAGTTGCCAAATTTAACTTCTGAAGTTGGTTATTGCGTGCGAACTTTTCCCCCGTTATAATGCCTTGTGACGTCATAAGATAAACGGAAACGAAGATATGAAGGTCGTATTTGTGGTAAATTATATGGCGCGTCAACATATTGCAGTGGAATTTTTGTATATTTCACTTGATTATGGCGCAGATAACTGATTTTTGAAAATCAATTAACAAGTGATATATATTATTGTTTATTTGACGGCGGAATGACGGTAAGAGACTCGGATAATAGGGTCAGTACTATGGTGGCCCATTGAATAATGCCCGCGAAGATACTGCAACTTCCGGTAACATGGCAACATGTGATGACGTTATTGTGACGTCATACTTAGGCAAATTTTCGGATTTACATAGTATCAAGAATTTTTATAAATCATTGTTTTACAATTTCTAATAAATTTCGATATCGAAGCCGAACAACTAGAGGTAAAATCAATATGGAGACGAAGATTTTTAGAAATCATTTGCGATTACTATTACATGTAGAGAGATTTTTATTGAAAACGTTTATTTATGTACGTTTGTTAGAGGATTGTGACGTTAATAGATTATTTGATTATTTTGTTCATGTTAGTCCCTTTTAAAGCTAAACGCCTGGAGATAAACACTTGGATTTCGTGTAAGTTTACGTCATCTATTGACGTCATGGTTATGCCATATCCAATTCAGCCATCTTCAGTTGACGACGTTATAAATAGACAGCACGAATGTCAAGCTCGAATGTTAGGTAGTTTACAAAAATATGCTTTAAGTCCAAAAAGTTAACAATACATAAAAAAATAAAATATGGCTTGACACATCATCATAAACTTGTTTATGTGGCACAATGGCTTAATAAGTGACCCAATCCCTACACTATTGTATTTACATATAAATTTAATTTTAATAAGTTTCATGCACATTTAAAATTAATACGTTAAAAAGTTATAACCTTTTAAAGTTGACTGGGACACTTTACGCCCCCCCCCCCCCCTCCC